TGACCTTTAAGGTCCCTTCCAGCCCAAACCATTCTACGATTCCATGAGTCCCTAGGTGTTCCGCAAAGGTTTATGAGGATCCAAATTTATAAGATAATGTGACCAAGAAAAGCTAGACAAATAACTTCTCTATTAAATGTATTTCCATTAATAATTCTCCTCAAACTATCTTTCTCTGTCCAACAGCAGCAGGAAGCATTACAGTACTCCAGCAGAATCCAACTGAGTAAATTCAGAATGCTATTTGGGTATACAGCCCCAGTATGAATTAGAGACTCCTGAGTTGCACCAGGGATGAGCTATCCCTTAGTGAGACAGCTCTACATTAAGAACAAAACAAGTACCTAGAAGTATTCATGTTAACTGAAGCAAATGTTTCCTTGGAGTGTTTCCTGCCAAGTCACTGCTACAACCACTTATGACATGCTGGTAGCGCTTACCTTTTCTGTCAGGCTTCAACACAAGTTAATTAAGTAGGTGACTGACAACAATATGCACGTCAGTAAGATGGATAATTGCAGGGGATGGTATTTACAACAAGAAAACTTTTATATAAGCATAATAATGCAGAAAATATAATTCCGTCTTCTCACTTGAAACAAGATTCCTCTCTGTAATACCTGCAGGATCTCAAAAATTCTCTGTACAGAGAATATTTGCCAAATCCAAGTTTACCTTTTGTGTTTTAAGGGTCTCTATTTCTTGCAGCTCTTTCAACAAATGTCTGGGAAAAAAGTAAATGTTAGGTTCCTGCTTACCTACGTCATTTTAAAACACTACTGACCTTGTCCAGTGCTGCCTGCACAACTGCTTCACTCTCAGTATCCAAAGCTGATGTTGCCTCATCAAGCAGAAGAATTTTAGGATTGCGAACCAGAGCTCTGGCAATTGCTATTCTTTGCTTCTGGCCTCCGCTCAGCTGTGCCCCTCTTTCTCCAACCACAGTTTCAAACTTCTACAAGACAACCACACACATTTCCAAAACACTCAGTGGCACGGTCCTTTCACCAAAGAAAGGCAATGTAAAGAAAAGGCACATCAGTGTTAGTAACCCTGTCAGCATCTTCTCCTTCCTCTAAAACGCTACAGGGTAAACACCCACTTGGATATACCTGCCTAATTGTTTGTGTCCCTGGAATTCTAATAGTTCTGCAAACGCCCACCAAGCCATGACCTGAAGATTTAAAATTAACCTTATTCTCAAAAGTTAGGAGGAAGCTCTGCATATCAGCAGGACAGCTGGTTTGCTTACGTTGGGTAGGTTCATGATGAAGTCATAAGCATTCGCTTCCTTGGTAGCTTTTTCAATCTCTTGCATGGTGACGTCCTCACGGCCATAACGAATATTTTCTGCAATAGTAGTAGCAAAGAGCACGGGCTCCTGATTCACCACACCAATAATCTCCCGCAGATACCTTACGTTTAAGCTCTTAATATCCTGCCCATCAATGGTAACCTAAACAAAGGGAAGCAGACAAAAATTGTTTACTAAGTGTTTTGGTCAAGGAACTTCTCTCCCCAGGTTGGCACGTGCCTTTCTAGGGGAGACTTTACCGTGTCATCGGAACAAGGGCAGTGAGGCCAGAACTAGACTTCCAACAACTGTGACACACAGAGCATACCTCACTTGAGGTATCTTACCGTGCCTTCCCTGGGATCGTAAAATCTCTGGATGAGCTGAACAGTTGTACTTTTCCCACAGCCACTGCCACCAACCAGGGCCACTGTCTGGCCACAACTAACCTTGAGATTCAAGCCCTTCAGTATCTGTGCATATAAGAAAAGTAACCAAAAACATAAGAGTATGTAAAAATGTCAGTGTAATTTGAAGAAACTCTAAAGACTACAATAAAATATCTTTCATATTTATAGCAGAATCTGGTACAAAATAATATTTATAAACACGTGAGTTTAAATTTTGGATAACTAATGACTTCAGCTTAATTTCTTCATATTTACATCACAATTGGTCTAATATCAATGTATTATACAACACACTTCACAAGTACCCATATCATGAACCAGCTCATATGACAAAATAATATTATTACTACCCACAACTAAAATATAATATAGAAACAATATGACGCAATATTTCTGTATTATGTTCCCTCACCTTTTTCTTTAATGCACCATGCAAACTACCGGAAAACTATTGTACACTAAAAGTCATGGTTAAAAGTGACAGAATATACTCTACATTGTTTTGGAGGGAAAGTCATTTTAGTAGCCTTCAAGTGCCCTTAGTTTTTCTCCTTTTGATTAGAATTGCTGGTGGGGCTTCTTTACAATAGTGACATTTCATTGCACTGTATATAACATTTTTGTACTAGTCAGCATAAAATATAGCATTTCACAACCATGGAAGATACAAAATTTTACCTTCCTTGGGACTCTTACAAATGGTAAATGTAGCTCTTTGGTGCTATGTAATTGTTCTTCCATTTTATTTTCAAGAATGTAACTTGTATTGGGCTGTGTAGTGGGGCTGAAGAACAGACACACAGTTAGCATGTCCATGCCATGTGTATTTAATTTTGCCCACCTTTCTGCTTAACCTGCTCACCTGAGTAGTAAGAAGATACAGCAACAGGAAAAAAGGAATAAAGTGGTTTTGTTTCTACTTTACATGACAAAAGGTGTACAGGAGTCTGTACAGCTTTCACTACTTTGTACAACTTCTGTGGTTGGAAATGTATATTGAAATGGAAAAAAGCATACTTTTTGCTAATTAGTCTTCTAGAAGGACTAGGCTACAATGAACTATGCATACCCGAATGTCAGCATCTGCATGATGGCTAAGTGCATTTTTCCATTCTAAACGTACAGCCATGCACTGATACGTTCCAATACTCTCCCAATGTACTTCCCAATACCTTGCAGCCCTGTGTCGTTGTCACCATCTCTTTCTTCCTAAATTTCTACCCTCAGCACTACCGCTGCCTCTTCACCCTTAGTACCAATATTTGCATGCTTTACAAGTGAAATATATCTCACTGTTTAGGAACAAGAGGCATAGACAAATCATAAATTTTAGTATGTCTTATTTTGCTATAATATTTTTAGATCAAAAGAAGTCGTCCAACATAAGTAATAACAATTGATAATTTATGAAGCAGCCTTATTTAATCTTCTGGTCATAATGCTATAGATAATTTAGTCTATAGACTTTGTACAGAACAATTCAAACAAATCTAATGTAAATAAAGTAGCAAATAGAAGTTGATCTAAAACCTCTTGTTACCACTGATTTCAGTGGACTATTGATCAGAATCTTTTTTCTATACCCAAATAAAATCCATAATTAAATCCATTTAGGCTGTTTCTCACAACTTAAAGCAAACAGAGAAGAGAGAGTAAGAACAGCAACAAAATCAGTCTAGTGAGACAGGAAGTAACTTGCAGTCTTCGTCATGCCTGTCAGTTACTTTGCTGCACTTAATCCTGTTGAAAAGAAGAGTTAAGCTGAAGTCAGGTAGATTAAACTTAGGCAGAAATGAACTGCCTTGAGTTATTTCACCTCCTCACTTTTCTCTTTACTATAATTGATAAAATACCTACTAAATGTTCGGTGTAGCCTTAACTTCCTATAATTATTATCTCTGAAACCATGGGGGAGAAATCTCTATTCGTATCATACCTGTTTAAACTTATAAAATAACCCACTGAGATCAATAGTTGTCTTTTCATCTATGTTTCTATATGAAGAAAAATCAAGCGCATTCCCTTCATTCACTTTCTTGATAGAAGGAAAAGCCAAAATATTTAACATATTTATCAGTAAAAATGGCTTAAAAGAAAGCTCTGTGTCTTTCTTTTCTGCCTATTGGAAGTAAGAAACATCCCTTTATCAAGGTCAGTGATTTTCCGTTAAGGTAGGTGTTGTGGTTTAACCCCAGTCAGCAACTGAGCACCACACAGCCACTCGCTCACCCTCCCCATCCTTCAGTGGGATGGGGGAGAGAATTGGGAAAAAAAGTAAAACCTGTGGGTTGAGATAAAGACAGTTTAATAGGACAGCAGAGGAAGGGGGGTGAAAAAAAAAAAAGATAAAAGAATATACAAAACAAGTGATGCACAATGCAATTGTTCACCACCCGCTGACCAATGCCCAGCCTGTCCCTGAGCAGCAATTGCTGCCCCCGGGCCAACTCCCCCCAGTTTATATACTGAGCATGATGTCATATGGTATGGCACAGCCCTTTGGCCAGTCTGGGTCCACTGTCCTGGCTGTGCCCCCTCCCAGCTTCTTGTGCACCGGGCAGAGCATGGGAAGCTGAAAAGTCCTTGACTAGTGTAAGCACTGCTTAGCAACAACTAAAACATCAGTGTGTTATCAACCTTATTCTCATACTAAATCCAGAACACAGCACTATGCCAGCTACTAAGAAAATTAACTCTATCCCAGCTGAAACTAGGACAGCAGGGAAGGGAAGAGTTACATAGTGCAAAGACACTCTTCATGAAAATATTTTCAGAAATAATTTAAATGTCTTTCACCTCCACTGCATTAAGACTCTGGATTTATGACAGTGCTTTAAAAGCAAACCTTTTCTCTGTCTGGAAATACAGATTCTGATCTCTGTTCCATATATAACAAGTCCTTGCTGGATCTGCTTTCTTTAACTGGTTGAGATACAGTCTTAACAGAGCTGCATTGCAGGTACTTTTGAAACCCACTATCTCATTATTATTACTATACACAAACATGTGGTTAGATGCATAAATTTAGATTCTGATAGCAATAAATCTTTAAGTTTTATTGCATAGCCACACTGACTATAGCTTTGGACAGAAAATTATTTAGAAAACTTAACATGTTTAGCTAAGGTGTAAATAATTCCAGCTAAAATCACTGTGATGGCAAGGTCATTTTATATAAATTAGAGAATCAATTTGGAATTCTTATATTTGCAACAAAATTTTATTTATGTGACTTTTTTTTTCCTAACAAATGATCTACACGGTTAACTGTAATATTTTTAAAGTTTCATTTACAGTACCTCAACATCTGGTCTGGATGGATAATTGAAGTAAACATTTTGGAATTCCAAGTTCCCTTTAATGTGGTCTGGCTTGTAACCTGTCTCTGAATAACTGTCAATTTGAGGTTCCTGTGCAAAATAAAATTAAAAAAAAAAACAAACAACACAAAACTTATTTCATAATGATCTTTTCATAAAGAAGTCCTGGAGTGCACCATTAATCTGCAGAGATATTAAATGTAATTTCAAAGTAATTTAGGTGAGATTTATGAAACATGTAAATTGCATGATGTTTTGCTGCCTCTTTAATACATTGACTTTTTTGGCAATTGAAGTACATATCCATGTTACCAGGTTGAGTTTTATTGATTTGCTGGCACTCACGCTACTGGTGGTGCCACTGATACCTTGAAATCTATGCTCAAATACCTACATCCCTATGTTCATGTATCTACATTGGCTGTAATCACGTATCTATATAGCACCATAGACGTGCCCTTCATGATAAAAACATCAGAGGACACCTCCAACACCAAGTGGTTCAGAGATCCAGTACTTGCCTTTGAAGCAAGAACCGATAACTTGAGAAGACAAACAGGAAATGACTAATAATTACACATTCTATCTGCTTTTATATTTCTGCTTATTTTACACACTGTTATTTACTCTTACTAGTTTCATACCGATAAATACTGCCTGTATTTTAAAAAGAAGGGTCTCTCAATTTTTAAATAAGAGTGAGGGCAAAGATACTCACATTGTCTATGATATTGAAGATTGCATAGGCAGCTCCTCTTGCACTAGCAAATGCCTCTATGCTTGGAGCAGTCTGTCCAATACTAAAAGCTCCAATCAATACAGAGAAAAAGACCTGAAAGAAATGTTTACAGTGACACATATCAATTCTAATTTAAGCAAAGAATTACATTTATTTGTTTACATTAGATATCTTTGGGTCAGGAGGCTCCATGCCTGTTAACTGAAGTTTAAGGAATCTAGAATTAAAGAAAAAATAAAAGGGTCTCTCTTAAACAGAGAATAACATTAAGAAAAGGGCTTTTTAAGATTCAGCTGAGAACTGAGTTCCTGCACAATGTGAATGTTGCAAACATATTGACAAGAAGTGAAAAAGTGACTGAGACCTGCAAAATCTATGCCAAAAAATGTATAATTACACTTGATGTCTCAGGATTTATTGTACTAATTCATTCTTTGGCAAAAGATGTTCCAAAGATCAGAAATTATATTGCATATCTTCCAACAGAACAAAGACAGATATGCAAAGCACTATCTCTGCTTTCAAAGTGACAGTGAAATAGAAGTATACAAATCCAACTTCTCCATCACAAAGTAATAAAGGGTCCCTCTGCTGGAATGAAAGAGGGTGAGTGCAACCAAACAAGAAAAAACAGAAAAAGAAAAAATATATTTTCTCAGAGAAGCACAGTTTATTGCCTTCAGCTAGTATCAAAACAAAAGTAATAAAAACGCACTGCTCAAACAGAGATCATAACAGCCACAGTATGTCAGAGCAAAGGTCCATCACGCCCATCATCTTTTCTCCAACAGTGTTCATTCACAGATGTGATACCTAATAAGGCAACACCATCCCATTCATGTTACAAAAACACCATTCCCATGAACTACAACACAGAAAAGAGAAATTGCATATACTTCGAACTGAAAAAATTACACACAAGGGCATGAACCTCACTGGGATGTTCTCTATGCCAGACTGCCTTTAAAAAAAAAAAAGGCAGGTTCAAAAGAGCCAATAACACATATCAGAGCCATTTTTCACAAACTTCAGTGATTCATAAATAAAACAAACCAAATAGTTTAAAAAAGATATAGCTATATACATATGGTCTCCTGGATGGGTTTCATCATGGTTAACAAAGTTATTCTTCTTACCGTATTTGTTTGATATCTCATACAAGATTAGAATGGTTGCCACATCAAGAGAAGAATTTAAGTTGTGACTTACGAGTTATGGTTTTCTTCCTTTGGTTAGATGGTGACATATTTCTTAGTCACAAGTATATTTTTCTCCCCCTCGATTTCTAAAAATACTGAGAAGTGATTCCAAGCTCTTATGGTGCAAAACATAAGAACAGTATCAATAAAATGATCTACTTAGACCACACAAGAGCTAAAAAAATAGTATTTGCTTCTGCATCCTGAAAATATATTCAGCCCCACAAATCTGAAAACAAATAGCAACTGGGAAGGGTACTGTACTTCAGTTTTTGATTGAACTGTTTCTATATCAGTCAGATCTTATGGAAGTCAAAAAAGATGTAGAAACAGTTGAAAATAATATATGTTTTATTTGGCTTCATGTAGATTTTGAGATACTATAGAAACAATATGTAGACTTTTGTGGTGAGAATCTTTTTGTTAAGAAGAAGGGATGCTATTTTGCTGATTTGGGCACATAATTCTTATTAAACTCAAATAAGTTCCCAATATACACTTTAATGTATTCTCTTTAGTATTTCTGACTATTATTGGGAATTTACTCATTAATACTTACTGTAAGAACATTGCCAATAGTGTAAGCATCAGTTAAGACCAAGGTGGTTCCATACCAGAAGGCCAGCGCATATGATGCGTATATCAGTAAGAAAGCAAAACCCATAGAAATATTAGCTGTAATAGCCTTTTTTATTCCAATCCGTTTAGCATATTCTAAATTTTTATGGTATCTGGAAGAAAGATAGAAGTTCAAAATAGACTCAGACTTGTACCATGGCACACAGCACCAAAAACTCTGTGGATGAATTAGAAAAAGAACACTCAAAGTACAACAAGATATATAAAATATATAACCCTAAGACTGTACAAAGGTAAGCCTGGTAGGCAGGTACAGAGACTTTAAAGTAACTTCTAAAAAGGCCAACATCAGTCAACCTGGTATATAGAAAAAAAAGGGCATTGCAGGGACTGGCATTCAAGTTCCTTAAATAACCTGCAGGTCAGTGAACTTTGATCATGAACCATTCATGACAGGTTTTGAGATTATAATTGTTAGCTTAAGATAAAAGGTTAAAATATATCACAAGAATGATGTTTTACAGTATAGTAGAAATAGAGATATTGTTTATTAGTACCTTCACAACAACTACTGAGTAATCAGATTATCAAGGATACTATCATCTCTTCTCATGGCACAACTTTTTTTTTTGTCTAAAGCTCTCACTGTGTGATGTTTAAAGTAGTTTGTACACTTTATAGAGTAGAGACAACATATCTTATTTTGTCATTTTCTAGAAAAATAACTAATTGTCTTTCAACATGTAGTGAAACTTATAATAGCCTGTAACAATTTCCCATTACCTAAAAATGCAGGAAGCACAAGACTTACTTGTTTTGACAGACTTTCAACAGCAAAGATGTAAGAAAATTTCAAACCATCTGAAGCGAGTACTTTAAAATCAGCTGCTGAAAGCAAACATTGCTCTTACCTTTTAATTTCTTTTTCCTGTCCTCCAAAAGCTATTACAGTACGGACTGCTGCCAGAACTTCCTCTGCAACAGCACCTGCTTTTGCATATGCAGCTTGCTCTTTGTCAGTGAAAGCAGAGAGAACCTAATACAGGATTAAATATTTTAACTTAAGAAAAACAGAATGAGCTCAAGCACTTCATAATGGCTTTTATCACAGTTACTTTCTTCCAATATGAAGCCTTTTGATTATATTATGTATGAGTGCAGAATGTTCAATATCAAAATCCTTAAGTACATTGTGAATTCAATCAACTAATTCAACATTACCCATTCTCAATGACTAAGGGCTGGATTTTCCACTCTACTTTCACCTAGTGCAGGACATTAGATGACAAATACTGAGCTGATGTGGTTCTCCCCAGGCAGATCTCCTTGGCTCATTCTCATCTCTGGCTACCTTAGCCAGGGGTCTCTATACCTTACATTAATTGGCCACAGTCCATGAAGACCCTTAGCCAGTAGACATATACAGCACATGCTTCTCTACGCCTATTTTTTTCCACAATATACTCACTCAAGACAGAGAAGGCTTATATGATCTTTGAAATATAAGGAAAATAAAATATTATAAAAATCTGAAGGCTTCCAAACTACAAATGTAAGCCACTCCAATCCCATGGTAATTTAGTACTTTTCTCCCCTAAGTTTGTCTAAAATTTTTTACCAAAGCTGTTAATAACTCTGAAAAGAAACTCTGTGTCCGAGACCAAGGCTTGGTCTAATTTATTCACTTATTTTTCAGGAGGTGTAATTATTCCTTTCAACAGACCAAGTACTCATGTGGATGAAGTTTAACCGTTATAGATGTGGATTCTACTCATATATCTTACTTCTTTTTCTATATAAAAATATGCTATATTGGCAGAAATAGCTTCAAATCAAACAAGTCTGTCCAATCTACAGGAATTATATTCTTCAAACTACATGAGGGTACTTATATACAGTTCATCTAAGAGCTTATGTACATTGATGCTGTCTAAAGCTATAATTGTTCTAAGCAATATATTCTGACAGTAAGAATTACAGACATGTAAATTTATTTCATTATCTCTCATTAATATAAAACCTGATACTGAATGTATGTTAACCTACCTTTGCCCAGATTGCTGCTGAAAGTCCCAGGACAGGACTGACAGCTAGTATGACAAGGGTTAATTTCCATCCTCTTATGAGACCAACAATAAATCCTGTTACAAATGTTGTTATTGATTGAACAAGCAATCCAATTTTGTCACCTATTCCTTCATTAATCTTGGAGACATCACTGAAAAACAAATTACATCCAGGCAGGAAGGAAAATGTAGAAAGCACAAGAAAGCTTTTCAGTTTTGTTACATGGGCATCTGTGTAGAGGAAAATCTTTATTATTCAATTACTTCCAAACAACAGTTTGCTTCAAGATAAAGCACTATATAGTGTGGTCAAGGAAAATTCCACATTTCTTGTGAAAATGTAATGCTATAAACCTGTTTTTGTCTGAAAAGGTTGAAATTCTGCCTACAGTGCAAAGTTACTCTCATTTTCTTAATTCCAAATTTTTGATCCATTTGGAAACTGTGGGTTATCTGGAAAGGAAAGATAAAGCCTTTCATGTAGGCAAAGGGAAAGGAATAGCTTGTCATGAAGTTAAAGCCATTCACACTACTGGGGTCAGTCGGCACCTTATTCAGTCCTCAGTGTGCACAGAAATGAACTATATTTTCTCTTTGTGGGGGTAATCTCATAGGCTGGGCTTTAGTCATCCTCAGAGTTCAAGGGAACTTATCAAAATGCTTTTCTGATATCCTTGTGACAGTCCAGTATCAGAGGTATTAGAAGTTCGGTCTCTGAGACTCTCCATGAGAAAACTTAAAAACTTCATTTGACAATGAAATAATTCAATTTAATTTCACAGTGAAATTTCATTTCACAATGAAATAATTCCATTTAAAAATAAAAATTAAAAAAATTGTAACTCATACATGCTTAATAAGATAAAATAACATTGGGAAAGGTACAGTATACTTACTCTAGAAGACGAGTGTTAAGTTCTCCCACATCATTTACATCAAACCATCCAATTTCCTGTCTCATAATTGCATGGAAAAAATTTTCTCTAATTTTTTTTATTTGCCGGCCTGCTGCTAGGGTCCAAAATGAAGTTTGGATATAAGCAGCAAGAAGAACACCAGCTGCTATTGCAGAATAGTAGTATGCATATCTGAAAGAAAAAAAAAAGGCAAGATTCTCTGAAATTATTTTTAATTACCTTGCTAGTCTGTATTTAGCTTGCTGCTTCTTCTGTTTCAGACCTGAATTAGAGTTTATATGTTCATATTAGAGTTTACACTTCCCTGTAAAACTTGCCAAGTTTTCTATGAGTAGTATTTAAAATCAGTTTTCAGATATGCAATAAATGAAACAAAGCTATTGTTAGACAGGAACTACTTTTTCTTTTTGTCAATATAGTATATATTTTCTCATAAGATTATTTTAGAACTATATTTTAGATACAATACCCTTTTCACTTAAATGTGTCATTTCCCAAAACTCCGTAACATTTTTGTTTAACACATATAGACAGACCTAATCATATATACCTATATTCACACACACCTTTACATCATACAACATGCCTGTCTATATAAATATATATATATGCATGGATGTTTTAAATATTTCCCGATTTGAGAACACAGCATTACTATATATACATGTATTGCAAGAAAATGCCGTTAGATCAAAAATTCTTTTGCTTTCTATTTTATTCATAACTAATAATTTACTTTTAAATTAATTCAGCTCTGTGCTATGAGCAGGGTATCAAATCAAAACCCAGGAGTGTGTGAACCACTATATTTCTCAAACTTGAACTGAATTTGAGCCACAGTTTTAAACTGTTCAAACAGAATCAAATCAGATTTTATTTGATTCCAAATTGACATCAGACTCAGTTACAGGTGAATTTAAACCAGAACTAAACCAGAAAAATGTAACTGAACTGATTCCCTGTTTGTAAAACATGACCAAAACCAATGGTTAAATATTCATGGTGTATATTACATGCAATTGTAAGACTACTGCATCTATATAAAAGTAAATAATTAGCAAAAGCTTTAAAACTCTTAGGACTTTCACTCACAAGTAATAAGTTATGCATACTGATTCATTAGAACTGTAGCATGAAACTTGGTAGGAGCAAATTGCAGGAATCTGTGTGCAAATGCTCTGCTAAAAAAGGAGAGAATGGCTTTATAAATGAAACTTTTCACATTTTAATCCAGTCTTTTTTGTGGCTAAGATACCATACAGTTTAGTCAGAGACTTTGGAACTATACTGATTATGAAATGAACTTTATCTAAACTGTCTAATAAAAATGAGTTAATGCCTAAATGAATGCTGGTTTGTTGAATATTGACTTTGATCATCTTCAGCTCCATTAAAACTCTACACAGAAACTACCAAACTAAAACCAAGAACACTGCTTCAAAATTCAGCAGTAATTACTTTAGACAATTACTTTATGATGTTACCTCACTTCAAATTATTGTTTTATGCTTGGACTTTGTTTCATGACAAATTGTATCAAAAGGGACTGATATCTTTTCCAGATTGCATGCTGATGAAATAGATTCTGTAAATTCACTGCTGAAACTTAACAGAGAGTAAATGTTCACTGCATTGTAAAATAATGGTTCTTTTTCTTTTGAGAAACAGTTGGGTTTTAAGCAAACTGTTGTTTGAGTAACAAACACAACCAAGTTCACGTGTATAGTTCAGTACCTGAACACACCTGTGTGAGAACTTTGTCCTTGTTAACAGTTTTTATTATTACTGGACCTGCTGGCAGGGGTTCTTAGAGAAAAAAGGGGTAGGTACAAACAGCTGCTTCTTCAAACCAGTGAACATACTAACTCAAGGCTCTATCTAGAAACTTTAGAAAAGAGAACCAATTCCTGTGCTACTAGTAAGTAATACATTCCTCATTCAACAATTTGTTTTTAAAGAGAAACTTGTGCTGCTTTTTATTCATATTTGTATTTCAGAGTTACTGTCTAAAAGACAAGGTGTCATGCCCGATGTTAATAAAAGATCTCACTCAAATAGACCATATCTCAGGGTCATGAGAACAGGCAGTTCTCAACATCTAGATGTTGATGTAGATTGACATTCACATTGACACTTCCTTTGTGTCAGTTTGTCTGTTTTCCTGTCTTCTTTGTTCTTTAAGCAGTAGTGACTCCTAGACAATAGCTCACTGAGGACAATGGGAAGATTCCTATTATTTTTAGTTGAGATGATGTGATATGAGTTCAGAGATTAAAAGAACTCCAAACCATTAATCAAAAATAGTTCTGATTGGTTGTTGGTCTAAAAGACTTACAAACGACACATTGATTTGCACACTACTCTTAGGCTATAAGAGGCAGTAATACCTTGTGTAATTCTAGTACATCCTGCCATTAAAATACAGGTTAGATATGCTTGAGTATAAAAAAAAAGAAAATATGTTGATTTTAAAGCTGTGTCATTACTTTCATTTCAAAGTGGAAATGAAAACACAAACACAAACATCTTTAAAATTAAGAGAAATTAATAACAGCAAGTGATACAGTGTTAAAGGCAATCCGACCATAAGACCACTTACTAGAAAGAGATAATTAAACAGGTAGAAATATAGAGAATAATTAACTGCTGTAGAGAAAATAAACTGAGTATTTTTTACATTTGCAAGAATAATGGAACACTCAAAATTATCTAATTTTACATTTTAACAGGAACTGCTGCTTATACGACACTTCATAAAACTATTGGACTTGTCAAAATACATGCTGGAGACTAAGAGCTTAGTGAGTTTCAGAAAAGGAATTCTATAACTGCATATGTAGTAAGCACAACTATTTTTAAAGTTCCCTTAGAATAAACATAAGACAGACTTTTAAAATGTTGTGCAACTAAGTGTCAGGTATTTACTAAACATAGAACAGTTAGGGTAGCTTCACCCATGCACAAATTATTTTGTTCTGCAATTTTGCCTTCAAATTTGCTTTCAAATCACTGGGCGCAAGGATATTCCACTGAAGGTATGTATGCATTACTTGCATTCATGTCAGAGACTGACAGAAATGTTGCTGGAGCAAGAAACTCTGTGTGTCCATACTCTTATAAAACATAATTGCCAGTTCCCTGCCAGTTCATTCTCATTACATACGAGTTCTGCATTTCTAAGTAACAGCCTTTTTCCTAACTAGCACTTGCTCATTTATTTTAGGGTAAAGAACTTTTTTTTTGGTGTAAATAGATTTTTTTAAATTAGAAACTTAACTACTTAGTCTAAATGATCTGTAAGTTTACAGTCCACTGTTACCAGAAGTGATAATGCACTTCAATACAAAACAGCAAGAGTTACTAGAGCAAATGCTTTATCTCCTCCTTCTCTTCAGAAAAGACAATTGCCTTGAAGACCACATTAGCAGTCCTGAGATGTCAGATGTTTTTCAATACCTAATGAGGAACAGACTTCAACTTGAAGAAAAGGTGAAGTGGTACAAGAAATTGCACATGACCTTTAGACATCTTGCATAAATCAAGTCTATGGACATTGGTTGATAAAGTCCCTTGACAAAACACATCTTTTGGCAGCTGATATTTCTCCCTACTTGACCTTTTCTTTATGAAGCTTTGTAGCAGAAGCACCTCCTGACGATTGTCATCTGCTATTGCCAGCTCTTGAACGCTAGATTTAAGGTTGCATATAATCTAACTCTATTTTCTGTAGTCCAGATAGTTTACTTGAACTTGCTGCTTTGGCAGCAAAGTAGGTACTATCTGGCAATTTTAATTCTGCTTTTTATCAGTGAATCACCATAGCTCAATGAATCAATGAATGATAATCAATATAATTTTTTAGCATAACAATTACTCTTTATAAATTCAGAGGAAGATAAGGAAGAAGGAAGGAAATGCAGGTGGCATAGGGACACAGAGCACCCCTGAAAAGGAGGTGGGATGGGTAAGAGCAAGAGATCACAGGGAAGTTGTTGGAAACGGCTGGGGATGTTCAAGAATCCTCCCAATGCCTCCAATAATCTCGTGCAAATCTTTAGTTACATACATTATTCAGTCAACCATTGTTTTTATGTTGTTTAAAGTATGCAACACATCTGTGGGAGAAGAATGACTTGACTAGAAATGTGTGCCTACATTAAAAAAAGAAGAGATCTCAATTTCTAATTACCTTGTCATATCTTCTTCCAGCTTGCCAAGAAAATCTAAAGAGGAATTCACTGCAGAAATGTTTTCTTAGAAAGGAAGAAAAGAGTAAATACATTTAATAGAGCAAGTTTTAACAAATTTGTTTTCCTGCATCCTGTTCAGCAAGTTTTGAGTTGCTACATCTCCTTTTGAATCAAGTTAATTTTAATGAAAGGAAGAGTGTGATGATTTCAGGCTTCTACCTATTCAAAAACAATGATTATACTAATATAAGGTTAGTCATAACTCCACTGACTACAAAACTACATCAGTACAATTTGAGATTAAAAGGTCCTCCTGAGCATTCATTAAATGCACAGTTTGGTTTTTCCTTTTTTGAAAACATAGGGCATTTGTATAATGCCAAAACCCATTAAAAATACAGGCCTAGACATTGACATCAAATCAGTAACTGTAGATAGCTTAACCCATTATGAAAACATTGGCTATAACGTTGGTGTTGGCCCTAAAATTTTACTGCCCCACACGAGAACTTAGTGACAAATGTTTTGAGAAAACTTCAGCTTCAGCATTTTGCATTGCACCATAAAAATCTGATCAATTTTTTATA